CTTCTAGAGAACTCATTCCAGCTCCATCTAGGGAAATCATTTCTGTTACTGCTCCTTCCTCAGCTAATAGTGCCCCCGCCAAGGCGCGCATGCGTTGGACACCAGAACTTCATGAGGCCTTTGTGGAGGCTGTGAACCAACTTGGCGGTAGTGAAAGTGTGTAACTCTTCTAGCTTTACTGAATTCTTAGCGTATGATAGAAACTTCTACCTCAATTAAGTTTTTACTTCTTGCAGGAGCAACTCCTAAGGGTGTGCTAAAGCTCATGAAAGTTGAAAGCTTGACTATCTATCATGTGAAAAGTCATTTGCAGGTACACATACTTCTTTCGCCAATAAATAGTTTCACATAGAAACTGTTTGTGTGTATGTGTGCTTGTGAGAACTTTCTTTTTACTGGAGTTCATTTTGAATTGCAGAAATACCGGACTGCTAGGTACAGACCAGAGTCATCTGAAGGTATATGGCATGTGCCTCAATGTTTATACATGTGTACATTTTTATGTATATTATCTAGATGTGTGTATGTATGCATAATTGCATATATCTATTTAGTGTATATGTTGATTGTATTTATGTAGGCATGATTTTACTCTCATTCTGATTCTTCTTTTAATATTTTATCCCACTTCATCGACCTCTTTTCGCTTGCATTTTCCTTGTTTCCAGAAGTGATATACAAGGGGGAATGGAGGGGTGTTTTAAGTATGCATTCCCCTGTCTCTATATTTTTTGTTTTAATTTTTCTGGGGTAAAAATTGAATCTCTGAAGTGCATATGTTTTCGGATAAGGAATCTCTTATTCTTACTGTGATGCGAATCTGCTATGTTGCTGAAGCTTTTGTATGATGTTTTTGGCGACGGAAGATAAAACAAGACATAATTAAGCACCAAATTTGTGACAAATGAAAGTCAGATGCAAAATCTTTTTTTCTCTTCGAAAACTATATTTCTTGTTCGTTACTTAATTTTCTGTGCTTTGGTGCTGGAGTTTGTGTGGTCTAGAGAAAAATTATGATCTTTAGCAGTGTTACCTTTTGTGTATTTTTTGTTTTTGATTCCATCAAATGAGAAATTCTTCTGACTTTTTTTTTAATCCTTTATAATGCCCCTCTTCCCAGAAATTGATTTGCAATATTTCAATTTTGTACTATTTGTAAAAATGTCCAAGCCGTCTGATTAATTTTTCCCATATCATTTCTGAGCAGGCTGTATTTTGGTGAATACTTGAATTTTCTTATTATTCTTTGATGTTTTCAGATTATTTATCTCTGTTTTTTTATTAGTCTATTCACCAATACCGTACAGGATGCTGAAATTATTATCCTTGAGGTATATTTGTGCAGAAATGCTTGTTTTTATCTCCTTGAGTTTCATGTTCTACCGTGAGACTTTGTAGTTGGCATGTCTATGCTGACCTCATTTACTATTTATACCTTACATGTAAGGATTTCTTAATTAGTTAATGTAATGTGCTGTTAAACAATCTTCTATGCAGGGTCCTCGGAGAAGAAATTAACTCCGATTGAAGAAATGACTTCTCTTGACTTGAAAACGTAAGTCAATTACTGATTAATTCGTGATACCTTGGGCTGCCTCGGGAAGAAAAAACATAATGGAAAAATGACCTGGAAAGAGGCTTTATAAGCAGAATAGGAGGATATGAGCTACCTCAATTGCTTAACTTTAGCACCTGGAAGATATT